ATGTAAATGTTATGGCATTCACTAGAATTATTACTCTCCTATAAATCAATAATTACAGTATTTATTAGAATTCACACTCTGCCATATGCAAATATTATGACATTCACTAGAATTATCACACTGCCATTTGTAAATGTTATGACATTAACAAGAATTATCACTCTGCAAAATATGTCTATAGTTATAGTATTCACTAGAATTATCACTCTGCCATATGTAAATGATATGGCATTCACTAGAATTATATCACTACGATATATATATAGTTATAGCATTCACTAGAATTATCAAACTGCCATATATACATAGTTATAGCATTCACTAGAATTATCACTCTGCCATATGTAAGTATTATGGCATTCACTAGAATTATAACACTGCCAGAAATGAATAGTTACAGCTTTCACTACAATCATCACTCTGCCATATGTAAATGATATGGCATTCACTAGAATTATATCACTACGATATATATATAGTTATAGCATTCACTAGAATTATCACTCTGCCATAGGCAAATGTTATGGCATTCACTAGAATTATAACACTGCCAGAAATGAATAGTTACAGCTTTCACTACAATCATCAATCTGCCATATGTAAATGTTATGGCATTCACTAGAATTATATCACTACGATATATATATAGTTATAGCATTCACTAGAATTATCAAACTGCCATATATAAATGGTTATAGCATTCACTAGAATTATCACTCTGCCATATGTAAATGTTATGGCATTCCCTAGAATGATTACTCTCCTATAAATCAATAATTACAGCATTTGTTAGAATTCACACTCTGCCATATGCAAATATTATGACATTCACTAGAATTATCACACTGCCATTTGTAAATGTTATGACATTAACAAGAATTATCACTCTGCAAAATATGTCTATATATAGTATTCACTAGAATTATCAATCTGCCATAGGTAAATGTTATGGCATTAACAAGAATTATCACTCTGCAAAATATGTCTATAGTTATAGTATTCACTAGAATTATCACTCTGCCATATGTAAATGTTATGGCATTCGCTAGAATTATCAATCTGCCATATGTAAATATTATGGCATTAACTAGAATTATCACTCTGCAAAATATGTCTTTAGTTATAGCATTCACTAGAATTGTCACTCTGCCATATGTAAATGTTATGGCATTCACTAGAATTATTACTCTCCTCGGAGGGTGACACGGAAACTTGTTAAACCGTCATTGACCAATGAAATTAATGTATTTTACATGAAGGTTTTTAAGATAAGTACAGTTATAGCATTCACCGGAATTATCACTCTGCCATATGTTTTATAGTTATAGCATTTACTAAACTTACACATAGTTATGGCATTAACTGGAATTGTCACTCTGCCATGTTTGTTTAGTTGTATCATTTGCAAGAACCCATATATGTATAGTTAAAGCATTCACTAGAATTGTCACCCTACAAAAGATGCATGATTGAAATAGATTTGGTTTTTTGAAAAGTATTTATGCTTATTTTCACAATTTATCGCTGTTTTGTGTATCTCGAAGAAAGATGGCCCAAACCTATCTAAGCTCTAGTCGTATTAATGAACTTTCCCGAAATGTAATTTCAGTATTGTCAACTCTCGAAAGCTTACTCGACATGGAAGGAGAGAGGCAGATGACAGTTTCACGTTCCAAGTGGTCGAGCCTATACTGCAGCATTACAAAGACGATCCGTCCATTCTACAATCACGACTCCATGTTTCTTTCCCTGGAGAATCGGGTGATGATTTTGGAGGGTTGAGCTAAGATATGTTCACAGCATTTTGGACGCGAGTATTACCATACTTCATTGGAGAGCAATGCAAGGTACCAAGTCTACCCTTCCACAGAGGTAGGAATGTGTTGTGGAAGTATGAATCAATTGGTTCCATCCTAACTCACTCTTTGGCAATGACAAGTTGTCTGCCATCTATCGCGAGAACCTCTATCATTGCAATTGTCTTTGCATCCAAGGTGGACAAACAATGCCTTTTAGATTTTTTCTTTTTTGTACCAGAGCAGAGCAATATCTCCTTCCAAAGATAATGGTGCATTTCTAGAGTCTCGATGACTTACTGATCACTTTCTTCAGCATCAATGACTTCTTGGGAATGCCAAACTGTTGGGAAATCTCGGATCAAATTGCAGAAATTGCCCAGAAAGAGTTGCTTGATACCCCACGTCATCTTTACGATGCCAGAAGAGGTGGTAATCGAAGTTGCTATAACTAGTCATCATTCTGGGCGCAGTTGACATTGACGAAATTTCAGCTCTTATAACTTCCCAGCGTCCTATTCCTATAAAGGTAGTACATGAGGAGGAGGAAGTCTCAGTTTGTGAGAGGACTGGATCAGGAAGACCTCTTGTTCCTTCTGCATTTTATTACAGGGTCAATCCACATGCCAGTTGGGGGAATTAAGGTATCATTTACAAAACTGGCAGGGGAATTAAGGAGACCCACTGTACACACATGCGCAAATATCATCGAAATAAGTGCCCCATATTCATCTTTTCAAGAGTTCCATCATGAAATGACACAGTATCTGAGGAACGAGTTGGTTTTCCAATGTCCAATTAAGTAAGCTGAGCTGAAGGTGGATATGACCTGTTCACTTGAATTTGAATAAGCTGAATTAACATCTGCTGCAAAGTAGATACAGTTGGGTTTTTCCCGAGTTCAATCAGAATAAACTGTTACATCATGCTTCAGGCTTCAGTTGCATTTTATGAAATCCATACATCTTTTCAAAATGTGTTACAATTGTGCCATCCCTGAAGGTCCGGGATAGAATTGGTCTTCAGTAACCCATGCATGTCGTCAGAGGCGACTAACGGGATCCTGTGGTCAGACTCGCTGACTGGGTTGACACGTGTCGTCGTATCCCAATTGCACAGATCTATGCTCATGCTGTTGATCACTGGATTGTCTGGTCCAAACTCGATTATTTACAGACCACCACCATATAGCTGGAATATTGCTGAATGTGGCGTAACACTAAACTCACTGACTGAATTCAAAATATCTTTAAAACGATGTAAGATATCAGTAATTTCTCAATACATCATCTCTATTTGAGATATCTTTAATGCATTTCAAGATATCTCTAATTCAATTCAAGATGTCATGCTTCAACACATCCTTAATTCATTTTGCGATAACATGAATTTTAATGGAGATATCTATAATCATCTCTGTTCAAGATATCAATTCAATTCATCTCTATTTTCATTCAAGATACGAGGGTCGATCAAAAAGTACGTAGACTAACTATATTCTTGATGTCCAATGTTTCAAAAGCTTCCATTTTATTTTGAAGGAATCATTAGCAAAGCCATATCCAAAATTTTCCATGTGTGGGTAATGTGGTTAACCAGATATTTGTCATCACAACACATTGAGGTATAATATTTCTAACAAAATAGCAGAAAATGAAAAACGATTTGTGAAAGTGAAAACATTAGAATAAGCTATGTCCTTATGATTAGGTAAGCGATTGTAATTTCAAATTGCTTTTTTATGAACTTTAATTTCTCAGTGTGATTCTAGGGGACTTCTATCAATCTAAAACACACAAAATATTTCTTGCATATTTTGTTTCCTGAAGTTTTTGATGCATTTATTGTAGATTTTGCATTTTTTGAGGGTACCAAGATAACAGGTCAAACAAAATGGGGATCGTGAGACTGGAACATAGCAAAACCAAATTGCTTGAGCTTGACAGATAATATGTAGAAAATATTGTATTGTTTTCTTGGTGATTCTACATACTTTTTGATCGCCCCTCGTATATTTAAAACAAGTTAAGTGAAGCCATAAGATCTTCAGCATCCTGGAGCATTAAAACAAACAGTACACATGACAGTACATTATTGCAGATCTGGTTGTGAAATGTCTCTATCTTTTTCAACACACTGTAAATTGAACAGCTATCAAAGCGCACTGTCTGTTTTAAAGTTTCCATAGTTGACATTTTGGACAAGTTCAAAACGGCACACAATTTGGATGTTTGAGTGTTTGATAGATCATGATAGTCACATGGTTTTCTTAACGTGAATAGCACAAATTGATAGTAGGTCTACCAGGTGTGCATGACCACCTTGTCCAACCACTAACAATGCTTACGCAGTGGTTTCCCTTGATGAAACTGAATGCTTGTGTGGCGCAAACAGGAATGGCGCAAAACGAAGATGTTATGCATTTTAATTGATGTTATCTACATTAGGGCCACAACCATGACTTGCGATGGGCCAGTCAACACTACTTTATTTGCTTGGTGGATCTACTGAATCGATACTGCAACAGACACGACTTTGACAATTCCTGGGTTGAGACAATTCAAGACAGACGATACACAGTTCAGAATGGAGTTAGTCTGGACAGCTCTGATGGTCGTGCAAGGGTCCACCATTGCGAATGGTTATTGGTACCGCATAGGGGACAACATCGATGATGTGATGTTGCACGTATTGTATCTTCTTGAGGCAGGATAACATTACCACCATGACTGTTTGTTTCAATGGCTACAGCAGAACCAAAACCAGTCAGTAACGCCAATCTTTGTTGGATGTCTGGAACAGGTGTCTTTGATGTACCACTGTTTACATGCCTGTATCTCAGAGTTTATACATACACTGTATATGCCAGTCAGGGGCTCAGCATTGGCACTGCAGGTGATGTACACTCAACACCTGGGTGATTCTATACTGGGCAGTACAACCAATGTATCAAATTATCAGGGACAGACCACTGGAGCAAGTACATGGGATGGTGTATGGTTTGTCTTGCTAACTTATCTCAGCAACATTATCACAAATGTTGACTCTATGAAAACACATGAGCAACAAGCTACCTGCAGTCAGTATGTCTATATATGATCCTCCAACTGAATGAATGGCACTTCTGTGTTATTCCGCACGTCTGGCATGTTCTTTTTTTCAGAAACTTAACCTAAGATATCTCAACAGATGGCCATCATTCTCTTTTTGTATTCTCATTCAAATTCTCATACATTCTCTTTACTCCAAGTAACTGAAACTATCATATCTTGACAGAAGATTTTGCCATGTCCATCAGGTAGCCTTTGCTCTCTTTGCATCTGGTTCACCTGAAAATCAAGCATAAGAAAACTGAAATGTACTGCTGTCAGTGTGACTTCAGGACAGAAAGTAAGTGAAGCTTTATTATATTACTTCATAACCTATTAATCACACATTGAAAGTATATAAATGTTACAAAATTAATCACAAACAGTTAAGCAATCTAAATGCAACAATATCAGTGGCAAACTTACCACATTCTTTTAGATTTACATCAGCTTTCTGTAATTCTTGAAATAAAATGTCTTTTGTCAGGCGAAATGTTAAGCACATCATATCCTTGTTGGGGGCAACATTTCGAACAAACCTGACACTGACATCTGTTAAAGATTTATCAATAATTCTCTCCCCTTGTTCAACAACATCTTTGTTTGGATCGTCACTTTTACTGAAACAGTAGCAGTGTACCACAGGTAAACTTGCATCATCAATACCCTCCATTCCTACATCACAATCCACTAAAAGAGACACAAAGCAGTCCAGGAACTCTATAGCTGCTGCTGGCAGGTTCATCAATATATGCATGGTGCTGTTCTGCGAATCAGACTTCATCCTCTTGATCAAATCCGACTTCACTACTGTTCGAACAAATGCCCGTCCATCAAGATTATAAGCTGTCAACACATCTGGTCTAATTTTATTTAGAGAAATGTTTCTCTGTAAAGAACTATAGGAGTTTGGGTTCAGATCATTGGCCTTGACAAAGATGCCTCGCCTTGCAGCTGGGATGGCAAAGGGCCCAACACCAGCAAACATGTCATACACAATGTCACCTTGCTGGAGCTGCTTGATCATTGTTCCATGTTCTGTAGCTGAAACACAAGTAAAACAGGTGTGAGTCAGCTTTGGCTGTGAAACCCTACAGTGAATACAGCATTAGGCAGACCAATCCGAAATTCTTACTGTGAACAGTCAGGCAAAAGGACACATATTAGCACTATCATACTTATCTTACCAGAACTCCACAAGCCATACAGAAGAGCAGTGGCCTCTGGCATGTCATAGTTTAATTCCTTTGCTTGGAGTGACATGGCCTCAAGTCAAAGATTCATGTCACCTAAGAAGTGATCCACACCCTGGGTTGTAAATGTATCATGTAGACATTGAATTACTCCTGATATGAGTTTGTTATAGTCAGCTTTTTCAGTCCATATCTCTATTCAAATTATCTGTCTTGTGTTGACTGATTACAACTCACAGAGTCTTGGGTTCCAATAAACCTTAGAGAAGTCAAACTCGTATATGCAGCCGTTTTCTCGAACTTGTGTGACGTAGTTGTCTTCTCCTGCCAGAAGTTCCATCTTGAAGTTGCGGAAAGTGTTGTCAATCACATCAAGCTTGTTAACCACAGTACAGATATTAGGGAGCTTGTCACAGATTACCTGCCCTGGACACAAACAATTATCATCATGAGTAATGTATTACATGTAACAAGTGTCTGTGTAAATATATTTGTAGGAAATGTCAGTGGCAGCAAATGACTGAAATATTAAAAAATACAGAAGCAAACCTACCTTTCCATAATGATTTTGTACTTCCAATTAGAGTAATCTACCCTTGTATACATGAACATGTCAGTTTTAGATGGGACGGACCATCTTGAAGTGTTGCAGAGGGTGATTTGAGGTCTTTTCTGACATGACTTGCTAATCTGCTAACCATGTGCAGATTTAATACCTATCAGAAATATGAATTCCTGCCCTATTCTGAATTCAATAAAGGAGAGAGGCCACTTACAAGACAGACATTCAACAATGAACAGACTATGAATACACCATGCCTTGAGAGACAGACAGAAACAAGTCCCAAGTCAACCAAAACATAGCATTGAATCTTCTTGCTGACAAACGTCACTGTGACCTGTGACCCCATGTCATACATGCTTTCAAATCATGCAATAACTACATAATAAGTCAATCTAGTGTATATGGCTAACATACTTTACACATGACCTTCACTGTGACATTGACCTTCCACGGGGGGCATATTTTCAAATCTTGGCCATTTCCTAAAGAAGATATGTATGAAGTTTCATTATACTACAGCTATTCCTTCTTGAACTTTTTTCAAGCTATAACCTTGTGCATGTCCCACAATTTTACAATGGTCAAAACAGTGTGGCATTAACTAATTTCCTGTTGAAAACAGTGTGCACTGAAAGCAGTATGAAAAATGTCTGAAGTATCTGGGTTGATGGACAATCCTGTTTCTTTTTTCAAATATTCAGCAGAACAATTATTAGAAGCCCTGTGTTACTACTTATGTGTAATTGATACAATCAAATTTCTTGTTACATGTTATCATGCTTTCTTTGAATAAAAACTTGACATTCATGATTTGTCAATTTATTGCCCTTACTTATATCCTTATCGTGACAGTCCCTGCCTGGCGCTCGGCATTAATGGGTACAACAAGGACTGGTCGGCTCTGAGTCAGTATAATGTGTCTGAGTGGGGTATTCATGCTTCACTGCGGCATGGTATCTCAGTTGGCTAGCACTATAAAACCAGCTTAAGTCTGGGCTAGTACAAGCAGCCGCACATACACATACACACGCATGCACGTCATCATATGAGCGAAATATTTTCAAGCACGACGTAAAACCCTCACCTCACCTTGTCGTGACACATTAGTATGCAATGTTCTTACTTTCATCAATCATATCATAGTGTGAACATAAAACATTCACCTGAACACACCCTATGACCACCTCACTCCCAGCATGCTCCTGTGTAAACCGCGTAGATCCAGGTTCGCATTGATCTTCAGTAACCCATGCTTATCATAAGAGGCGACTAATGGCATGGGGCAGTCAGGCTCGCTGACTTGGTTGACACATGTCATTGTATCCCAATTGCATAGAATGATGTCATGATGTTATAAAACTGGATTGTCTGATCCAGACTTGATTACTTACAGACTGCCGTCACATGGCTGGAATATTGCTGAGTGCGAAGTAAAACTAAACTCACGCTCCTGTGGTACTCGTCATCTTTTCATACAATTGCCTGTAGACTTGGGCTTCAAAACGTCCAAATGTTTCCAACTTGAGTACCCCATCGGTCAAACTAGACTCATGGTTGAGCACGTATAAGATTACATAACTATTAACATGATTAATGTAGCTTCCTTTTTCTAGTACATACAGGCAAACATTCTGCTCTTGCCTCCAACCTGTCCAAGAAACTCCTTAAGATCATTAAGGACACCTTACAGAGAGCTCAATGTCTGTCTCTCGAGGGAGGACCACAGGAGGAACTATGTCCTACTGGATCCATATGGCACTGTGAAAGAAGTTGGCCATGCAGTGTGGATGCCAGTTTCTGCACAACTCATGGAAGTGGCCCCGGAGATGAATGCATACACAGACATGAGAACAGCAAAGCACAATAAACACTGAAAATTTAGCCGGGGGTCTTGCAGATTTACATCTATCTCAAAAATGTTCAAAATGAAACCAAAATCATTGAAACTTCTCATGTCTGCATACACAAGTCTGCTGTCCCCCTCGATGACTAAGGTTCCACGATCTTAAACCAGAGAGTCAAGGATGGAGTGAATTCAGGCACAACCTGACAGAGTACAGAGTATCCTTCATGTATACATTGTGCCGAGCAAGGTTATGCACTTTTGTAGAGCATGAACAGAAGCTTCAACCTGGGTTGTAGTAGAGGGACACTTCTCACAGAGCTTGTGGGCCTTGTTGTCCTTGAGGAGTTTGTCCACCAACCAAGGTTGGCAAAGAAGTAAGAATAACAAATGTCATCCAGTTTTCTGCACATAACTAGGTATCTTATGAGACAGTGTAAGCACATCACATGCATGAGAACTTGAACCATATTTTTTCAAAAGGCAAGTAGTACTGCCAAAAGGCAACAACAGTTTCCTATGGAAGTTGGTCTCCCAAGAACTGATTCGATCATCAGCGACAAATAACAAAAGATGACAGCCTTTTGAATCCTAAACCATGGCTCTCATCTGGTGTAAGCATTACACTGAGACAGATCTGATCACTGAGTAATCAGCAACTGACGTATGTAGCTGAAAGTCATCTCAGTTGGGTAGAAACATAACAAAAGATAGATAACACAGGAGCATGCCAGGTGGCCAGAGAGGTGTTCAGGTGAATGTTTTATGTTGTTCTACACTGTTTTACAATCAACGCAAGAGTATTGCTTACATGGAGGGCAAAGTTAGAAAATATAGACAACACACTATTGACAGATGTACAGGCCTTCTTACCAGTTGTTAGTGTGAGAACAGTATATTAAACATGGATCAAATTAACATCATATTTCAGCATTGGAATACTAAAATCATTTTACATGCTTGCAGTCTGTATTTAACAAGCCATGGTGGGCTTCTTACCAGTTGTTAGTGTGAGAACAGTATACAGTCAGACCTCGTTTATCCGAACACTTTGTTTTTTTATTGAATTGTTCGGACAAACGAATCATTGGGATATCTGAATCAGGACCTAGGCGGTCGGCTACACGTGAAAACAAAACAACTAAAAATAACATTGAAACATAACTACATCTTTTATTAACATAACATCTTGCATAACATATCATAACATAAATTACATCGGCTTGAAAAAGTCTTTGATTGATGATTGTTGACGGACAGAGTTGTTATTCACTGCTTGGATTTTTAACAACAGCTCCAGGTTTGTGAGGTCGCCGACATTTTCAAATCCATTGCATCCATTGGCTGAATGTGTGCGGTTGTGTTGGGTGGCAGGAAATGGACAGTCACGCTGGTCAGTTTCAGATTTTTACAGTTGTGACTAGCCACATTGTCAACAAGCAAAATGACCCGCCTTCAACGTGACCTCATCTGTCGATCACAAGACAGCAGCCAAACACGAAACAGCTCTGCTGTGATCCATGCCTTTTGTGTTGTTTCTATATCTAGCATACACCTCCGTCTTTATTTATGCTTACTCAATCAACGATTCGAATCAGTGTCAAGTCAATGTCAAACTTTAATTGTTTCTTCTCTAATTAACCTACACACCCTGTGATAAATATTCAATAAACAATGAATTAACTAGCAGCCAGGACAATGTTTTGACAAGCGGTAGACAAGATACACTTCGTGTTTTGATACCTCGCCGACAACAGACCTTTGGTTTTGATACATGATTGGGCACTGTTGAGGAGAGACGACAGCCTTGGTGTTCGGTTATACGAGGCAAATTTGTACATACTTTGCTGTTTCGTTACCAAAATTGATCGTTCGGATTCAGAATCCGAACATTCGAATATACGAGGTAAATTGTAACTAGAAAATTTCGTTTTTTGTGAAGAATGTTCGGAAACCGAGGTATTCGGATATCTGAAGTTCGGATATACGAGGTCTGACTGTATTAAACATGGATCAAATTAACATCAAATTTCAGCATTGGAATACTAAAATCATTTTACATGCTTGCAATCTGTATTCAACATGCCATGGTGGCGAGGGGTTAGAGATGATAGTGACATTCATAACAATGTTTTGGCAGAGGTGAATAAAGGGAAATTGAAACTTCCTGAAGTTATACAGTAGTTAACTAAGAGCCATGACTGCCCTCAGTTTGCAGCTTCTCAAAAACTGTTTATTGGGTCTTACCGATAAGTTTCTTGTAGGGGTAGACTTCAGGTTTCAGGTTGAGATGAGCTATATGGCCGATTATGCTGAAGCTGGTGACACTGTCAGTACTGGCTGGGATGACAGCCCGGAGGATGTCCTGTACGTTCCAGTTCTCATACGTCATCTCAACATCGTACATATCAAAGTCATTACTTTGTATGTCATTTTCTTGCAGTATATGTTGGTCAGATTGGTCAAGATCCTACAACAGAGATTTGTCAATATTGCTAAAACCCATGTAGAAACAATGTTGAAGAAACCATTCCAAAACATATTAAAATAAAATGAACCACTGCAATTATTTTGTAATGATAAACATAATAAACTACGGCAATACCTTATTTATGGCTACATGTTAATGTGAGTGTAGCAGTACAAGTCTACTTCGGATTCCTGTTTCACTGTAAGCTTGTGGGAGAATGTGGAGCAGTAATGCTTGTTTCCTAAGTTTGTTGATGAGAATTACTAGTGTGTTTTAAGAGAAAATGTGAAAGCAATGTGTGAAATTTAGGGCTGTTATGATTCACTCGCATAATAGATGAATTAAATCATATCCCTTCAAAAAAAAATCGTGATCACTAAAATATAATATTCATGAATTTCTTTGAAAAGGAGTGTCTTTACTTGAATTTGAGTGTTATTTATCAAAACAAGATTTGACAGTCACAATAATAGTCAACACTCTTATTGAATTTGACAGTAATGTGGTCACTTGTCATTGTCATGATAAATGAACATGGTCAACATGGAGAAATATAAAACAAACTTTATGGATAACAACTTCTTTTTATTGGTGAGTGCGACGTTTCGATACAGATTCTTGTACCGTTGTCAAGCATAATGGGACATGAAGAGGGGGGAAGTGTATATATACTGGATGTGACAATGTGACAAAGAAAACAACATAATTAACATAATTGGCTAGGCAGAAGGCTGATGAAGCCAGAGAGTAGACAAAGGACAGGCGTAGAAGCCAATGATGTACAAATGATAATGGCATGTTTATACAGCAGTGAGTTTATACAGTGGATTGGGCTTGGTGGATGAGTGCATCATAAGCGGATGGAATGAAGTATCCTTGGTCTCGGTTGATGGTGGGCTTTTGGCGTTTGATGTGGATGGCTTCGGTGAGCTTGCGTTTAGTGAAGTCTGTTTGTTTGTTAGAGAGAATGGTGATGTCAGACCACTCTATTTGATGATTGGGGCTTGCTTTGATGTGGTCGGAAATGTCTCATTTGCTTATGATGCACTCATCCACCAAGCCCAATCCACTGTATAAACTCACTGCTGTATAAACATGTCATTATCATTTGTACATCATTGGCTTCTACGCCTGTCCTTTGTCTACTCTCTAGCTTCATCAGCCTTCTGCCTAGCCAATTATGTTAATTATGTTGTTTTCTTTGTCACATTGTCACATCCAGTATATATACACTCCCCCCCTCTTCATGTCCCATTATGCTTGACAACGGTACAAGAATCTGTATCGAAACGTCGCACTCACCAATAAAAAGAAGTTGTATCCATAAAGTTTGTTCTATATTGCACTTCCCAACTTCTAAAATGCCACTCAAAGAAGTTATGGAGAAATATGTCAAATAATGTATTTAGTTATGTTTCACGGAATTTACTGAACAATATACCAACTGCAGACTTATTGTATTCATCAGCCAATATTGGTATCTGTTACCCAGTATTTGTGATATGCATTGTAATCGCCTCGTAGTAGATTCACAGCAGCCCTTGTGAAAATGCATCTTCAGCAGTTTAATTTGATAATGAATAAATGTAGTAACTTCACCAAACTTAATGACTGAAGTCAGGGTTAGCTAGAGACTCCACTATATACATGGTTTACGGTCTGGTAGAGTCCAACCATAGAAAACATCATCACCAAGCCAGGCCCAAATACACACATGCATTGAAAATTAGGCACTTCCATCAGAAATATATAGGGTTTTAGACAAAGCACAATTATGCGTCACAAGAACCACTCTCATCTAACGTACAGTACATACACCATTTCAATACTTCACAGGACTCTCATATTGTATTCAAGGACCCTTAAAATATATTACTGGGGGTCCTCTCTGCCCATACTTTTGTAAGTCAATGTAACTTGTAAGACCCTGCATACATTTAAGCTATCCAGCATAAAACAAACCACAAGTAAATAACTTTGAAATTAATAAAAGTCCTAATAAAATACAGGGTTTTACATAGTTCTTCACACTAGGAGACCTGGGGACTCGGGGCATATGTATTTTGAGAGTCCATTTTCAAACTCGGCTGTCCATCAATGCTGTCCCAAAAGTGCATCATAGGACAAAATCCCCCTGGACAAAATTGGTAAAGATTTATTTACTAGTATTTGTCAATATTTCAACATTCAGCAAGGTCAAAGAGCATATTTTTCACATCATTCATTGCACATTTATTCTTGTTTGACATATTTATACAGAACCTTTAATCTAAAGCTTAAGATCGATGAGTAGGGGGATTTTGTCCGTTTTAATGTTAAGGATGGGTGGGATAATGTCCGGGGTGTTATGGGGGTTTGATTTGTTTTTTGAGGGGGTGTCCGGGGAGATTCGTATGTGTATGATGGCTGTTATTGTTATCCATTGCATCATTCTATATCATATGTCACTAGACATGCGTGGCGTCCAATACCGAAAACGTGACCCTATATACGCGACCGCGGCTTCTGACTAAACAAAACATGACAATACCTGGTATGATGTATATTTTTCTGGATCAAGTAAAATAAGTTTGTGAGTGTTCTTGTTAGGATCACCATCCGACAATTCCGCTATTGGCTTCATCAACCGCACCTTCAACATCGACAACTTAGTCGTCTTTTTAAGAATGCCAACCTTGCGGGCTGGAATCTTTAGGCTTGGAACTTTAATTCTATTTTTGAAAATGTTTCTGTCCAGTTCAGTCATTCCCCGTACAGATTCCGGCGGATCCATGGCAGCTGCTATTTGACTCATAGTTTCAGAATCGCTGAATGACTTGGTCCACTGCCTCACAGGCCACAGGTGACGACTATATTTGACCAAACGTGTAAGTTTTGAAGACGTATTGTTGATATGTTGTTCAGAACTCACGACTCTGTTCTTATTTGTGGCAGTGGGTATTTTCTGAAGTTGTTGGAAACTGCGAAATACGTTCCCACTTAAAAGATAGAACAGTGATCTCAATCCGTATGTTCGTTTGGCCATGTGACTTGTTTACCAACGCAACTGCACTTCCGTTTGTGAACTAAAAGCCGGACCCGCGGTATAAACCGGACGGTGTTGCCAAATAAAACCCCAAACAATCGCAGCATCTGCATTTGTGGAAAAACAACAACTTCGTGGACGTAGAACTACATGAGAAATTATCAAAGCTCAAACGGATACAGCTGATCTACATGAATCCATAAAGGCCGTGAGAAGTATCCACCATATGTCATTTTCACTGAGTCCTGAAGCTTCAAGCGTACCCACTAGTCTGTCTCACAGTCCCTGAACCACATTATTTTCCCTACTGCCTAGCCGCCCCTGCAATGCTATTTAGCTCTAAATTGAAGCAAGTCTAGATCCCACAGGTTCAGATTCTGAATTTCCCATCTGACTGGGACTCCTTTCTATTTAAATGGGTTTATGTGTTGCTATCAAAATAATATAATATAGGAATACGGTCAGCAGATTGTCACCCACCAGATCTTCAAATTCTCTACAAAAAAAGAGAGAAAACGTTGCAGAAAACTGAGCCAGAGACCATATACCGGTATATGGTCTCTGACTGAGCTAACAATAAGAGAGCTGTCCTAACTTTTGGGTGTAACAACAAATCAATGTCGCCGGAATATCTGTGCATCTATCAAGTCAATTGCACCACTGTTGTACTGTTTAATCGCCTCTAGAAAGAACGATCGAGGTCTTGTCATGATCTTGGCCTGTACTGGTCCATCTTGAGACTTGTAGAAGTTCTTGAAAGGCACTTAGAAGTTGGACGAACATGAATACATGACACGTTTTATGGATAACAACTTCTTTATATTCTTTACACCACGTTACTAATGTATGTACAAATGTATGTATATACGTGCGTATGTATGTAAGCAAATTAGATAGCATTAATGTACAAAGATAACAATGTAAGACGAGGGCGATGATTATAGCACAATGGCTTATACACTGGGAAGGTAAATGCCTTGGTCTCACTAACCGAGACCCAGGCATTGACCTTCCCAGTGTATACTCCACTGTGCTATAATCATCGCCCTCGTCTTGCATTGTTATACCGTTAATCTCATCTTACATTGATAACTTTGTACATTAATATTTTTGTACATTATGATGTTTTATGTAAAGAATAAAATGAACTTGTTATCCATAAAAATGTGTCATGCATTCATGCCAATGTTGATAAAGTATTTTGTGAAAATGTTTGTTTAATTGGACAGTCAATGTTTTTTGCCATTTCAATGAAGACTTGATATTTTTTGCCGGCGAGATGATCCCTCGCCTCAAAGTTTCGTGCTATCACTTCCAATGCATGTCTTGTGCATGTTGTTTTTTACAACTGAAAACCTTGTACCCTTAGGATTTTTAGGAATACAATCTGTCTATGCAGCGATGGTGTACTGGGCTCCGCGCGGTCGGGCTATCGCAGTGGGGAGTTTGATAGCCCTCATGACAAGGGAAACAACTCTAACGACCTTGTTTCAACTTTTCCTAAAAGAGGAAACGGGTGAAAGTAAAATCAACGAAGCTATATTCTGAAACACGATATGCATAACAAGTGTATGATCATTAATGGCCAAGGCATAATTTAACGGCAATTCTCATCATTCCAATATACAGACATGTTTACAATTGTTATCAGTGTACAAAGGTACTGTTCAATTTTGTACGTGGTCTGTGCAGGTCACCCCGTGGCTACCTGCTTGCAGTTCAATGTAACGCCCTTTTCAGAGTTTCTTTTGTTGGTTTATTTATTTGTTTTGCTTTCTTTTTGATGTTTGTAGTACTCATTAACGATTAGGGTAGAAATACCACTGCAGTTTTAACAGCACACATGCCAGTATTTCCCTTTTTAGCAATCCATTAATCATTACAATATCGCGATGTTAATACTCCACCATAACAACAATCTTGTGATGTTGATACTCCACCATAAGTATAACAAAGATCTTGTGAGATGTCCAGTTAATCAGCATTCCACCCACACGGCAGCAGCCCTATGTCCAGCAAACCAGCAGCCCTATGTTTAGCAAACCAGCAGTCCTATGTCCAGCAAACCAACAGCCCTATGTCCAGCAAACCAACAGCCCTATGTCCAGCAAACCAACAGCCCTACGTTTAGCAAACCAGCAGCCCTATGTTTAGCAAACCAACAGCCCTATGTTTAGCAAACCAACAGCCCTATGTCCAGCAAACCAGCAGCCCTATGTCCAGCAAACCAGCAGCCCTATGTTTAGCAAACCAGCAGCCCTATGTCCAGCAAACTAACAGCCCTATGTCCAGCAAACCAACAGCCCAGCAAACCAACAGCCCTATGTCCAGCAAACTAACAGCCCTATGTCCAGCAAACCAGCAGCCCTATGTCCAGCAAACTAACAGCCCTATGTCCAGCAAACCAACAGCCCTATGTCCAGCAAACCAACAGCCCTATGTCCAGCAATGTCCAGCAAACCAACAGCCCTATGTCCAGCAAAACCAGCAGCCCTATGTCCAGCAAACCAGCAGCCCTATGTCCAGCAAACCAACAGCCCTATGTTTAGCAAACCACCAGCAAACCAACAGCCCAAACCAACAGCCCTATGTCCAGCAAACCAGCAGCCCCTATGTCCAGCAAAGCAACAGCCCTATGTGTCCAGCAACAACCACAGCAAACCAACAGCCCTATGTCCAGCAAACCAACAGCCCTATGTCCAGCAAACCAACAGCCCTATGTCCAGCAAACCAGCACCAGCAACAGCCCTATGTTTAGCCCTATGTCCAGCAAACCAACAGCCCTATGTCCAGCAAACCAGCAGCCCTATGTCAGCAGCAAAGCAACAGCCCTATGTTTAGCAAACCAGCAGCCCTATATGTTTAGCAAACCAACAGCCCTATATGTTTAGCAAACCAACAGCCCCCTATGTCCAGCAAAACCAACAGCCCTATGTTTAGCAAACCAGCAGCCCTATGTCCAGCAAACCAACAGCCCTATGTCCAGCAAACCAGCAGCCCTATGTCCAGCAAACCAAGCAGCCCTATGTCCAGCAAACCAACAGCCCTATGTTTAGCAAACCAGCAGCCCTATATGTTTAGCAAACCAACAGCAAACCAACAGCCCTATGTTTAGCAAACCAGCAGCCCTATGTCCAGCAAAGCAACAGCCCTATGTCCAGCAAACCAGCAGCCCTATGTCCAGCAAACCAACAGCCCTATGTCCAGCAAACCAACAGCCCTATGTTTAGCAAACCAGCAGCCCTATATGTTTAGCAAACCAACAGCCCTATGTTTAGCAAACCAGCAGCCCTATGTCCAGCAAACCAGCAGCCCTATGTCCAGCAAACCAACAGCCCTATGTCCAGCAAACCAACAGCCCTATGTCCAGCAAACCAGCAGCCCTATGTCCAGCAAACCAACAGCCCTATGTCCAGCAAACCAGCAGCCCTATGTTTAGCAAACCAGCAGCCCTATGTCCAGCAAACCAACAGCCCCATGTCCAGCAAACCAGCAGCCCTATGTCCAGCAAACCAGCAGCTCTATGTCCAGCAAACCAGCAGCCCTATGTCCAGCAAACCAACAGCCCACAAACTCAGCAGCATATATGTTCGACTACCTCTCCAGTAACAGCCAAACGAAATGTGGGACCTGTGTCTAAAAGAGCACCTGAATCTCTATCAAGCAACTTGATGTCAGACAGTTCAGTGTTCGTTCAGCTATCTAATCCTATTTGTATATTGTCTGACTCTTTAATGAAACCGTCAATAATGTGGTGACCACATTTAGAGGGTCGACACGCAGATGATTTACAGATATCCCGATCAGCGGGACTAGGTTACGTCATTCCTGCTATCGCCATGATAAGAACATGTCTCTGGGAAGTTCGTCGATCGAGAGAGGACAAAGATGGTGATTTTCACACCTGTGGGACTCGTCAGGCTGAACCTCGGCCACTCAGAGAGATATAGTTCTATTCGCATGTATACACATAAAACCTTGAGTAGGCCATAAACCATTGCACCTTTAACCCTACCATCGATGTCTTCAGCGTTGGACATCGGTCCATGCTATCAGTGTCTGTCATTTACAACCCACCTCCCAGATACTCATCTACTACTGTGGGCACTGCGTTGCACTTCATATCTGATCTGAGCAACAATGCTTATGTGACTGCAACCAAAAAATCAAACATAATTAAAACACAATTATCACTTATTCATGACATATAATATACATTGCTGGTTATGAAAAAAACATATAAACAAAATTATAAGCCTACAATTGCAAATCAAAAGTGCAATATTGTGTACTTGGGTTTACTTCCCAAGAAACGAAGCAGCCGGGATACCGAACCCAGTCAGAGCGGGTTGGTGTGCATTCAAGTGTAACGGCTGGTTCATTTGCAGATGACCCCACGGCTCATTGTGTGTGTATACATAGAGATGTTGGGTTTTGTAAATACATGCTCATTTTTTGCGTATAACATTTTGCAATCAACAGACATCATAACATGTCATGTGTTCAAGTATCACACCTGCCTGTCTGTGTAATTACATAATGTGACTGAGACCGAACTCGGGCCATAAATCAATGCATTTTGTTTATGGTGTATAGACTGATTGGTGTTAAGTTCAAATTGCATGTGGTCAGTGATAACAGCTGTGTATTGAATATTGTCATTAGCAGACAGGCAGGCAGACACACAGGTGTCAATAAAACAAGACATTGAGTTTTGTCTGTGACAACCACATATCTATATCACAGTTAGAAATTCTGTCAACGCTAAATAATGACATTGCTTTTAAGTATCGAACTGAGAAAGTGACTCGGTAAGAAGAACGTGTGGTGAAATAGACAAATGAAATTATATAAACAGTTAATTTACTGTCATAACATATAAAAAGCTCGCGCAACAAAACATTAGAAAAATAGCTCACACCAAAGCCTTCACCGAGTATTCACTGGACAACCCGCTTCCAAGCTGCGCGAACCTATTTCACTGCGCACGTGCTATGAGCGCAGCCCAGCTGTTGAAACCAGTTTTCTCCCGAAAAGTCGGGGGAAAATTAGTGAATCGTTTAAATTCCGATTTCGCGCGGTTTTTTTCGTCGCGTTATTTTTCAACTTTGTAAGTTGAATTTGCATTTTTGACGATTTGTTTCGGTAAGTCCATACCGAAAGGTATCAGAATCTGCAAAGTTGTGTTTTACGTTGCATGTGACCTTTAAGTATCAATGGAGTATTTGAGCCTATTTGTTATTGAATATAACTTCAGACCAGGGTGCAGAGATTTCCTGAAGTTGGTGTCTTTTTTGGTAACTCTGGGAGACAGGGAATTAAGCAGTTCATCAAACATATCAGGAGGCATTCGCAGATATGAAGAAAGAAGACGTGTCTTCGAATCTGAGTTCAGATAGGAGATTGTTATCGTTTCCAAAGTGCAATCGTCTTTCCAACCTCAACCACGGACGTACCCATAACCGTTCCTGTTTTCTTCTTCTTCTTGGTGCCTGGTTCCTTCTGTATTGATAGGTATCTATCACTGTGTCGGCGAGCATCGCGAGGAATCGGGGGAGAATCGTAGATATATATAGCCGCAGAAACGTGATTTAAAGGTCACATGTAACCAAAAAATCGAACATAATTAAAACACAATTATCACTTCTTCATGACATATAATATGCATTGCTCATTATGAAAAAACAAATAAACAAAATTATAAGCGTATAATCGCAAATCAAAAGTGCAATATTTTGCAGACGGGATACCGAACCCAGTCAGAGCGGGTGGGTGTGCACTCAAGTGTAACGGCTGGTTCATTTGCATATGCCGCCCTCATGCACGGCTCATTGTGTGTGTATACATAGAGATGTTGGGTTTTGTAAATACTGACTGACTGACTGACTGACTGAGTTTAGTTTTACGCCGCTTTTAGCAGTATTCCAGCAATATCACGGCGGGGACACCAGAAATGGGCTTAACACATTGTGCCCATGTGGGGAATCGAACCCGGGTCTTCGGCGTGACGAGCCAACGCTTTAACCACTAGGCTACCCCACCGCCCTTTTGTAAATACATGCTCATTTTTTGTGTATAACATTTTGCAATCAACAGACATCATAACATGTCATGTGTTCAAGTATCACACCTGCCTGTCTGTGTAATTACATAATGTGACAGAGACCGAACTCGGGCCATAAATCAATGCGTTTTGTTTATGGTGTATAGCCCGATTGGTGTTGAGTTCAAATTGCATGTGGTCAGTGATCGCAGTTGTGTATTGAATATTGTCATTAGCAGACAGGCAGGCAGACACACAGGTGTCAATAAAACAAGACATTGAGTTTTGTCTGTGACAACCACATATCTATATCACAGTTAGAAATTCTGTCAACGCTAAATAATGACATTGCTTTTAACAGGGATACTACCCTGCTTTTAAGTATCGAACTGAGAAAGTGACTCGGTAAGAAGAACGTGTGGTGAAATAGACAAATGAAATTATATAAACAGTTTATTTACTGTCATAACATATAAAAAGCTCGCGCCTGTGAGATATCAACAAAACATTATGAAAATAGCTCACACCAAAAGGTATCAGAATCTGCAAAGCTGTGTTTTACGTTGCATGTGACCTTTAAACGTAGCCAATCGGCCAATACTAGGTGAAATCGTATCAACAACGGGTGCTCAATCGCAGAGTTATCGGCATTTATACGTAAGTCTACAGTCTCTTAGTCGTCTTTTACGTTGGTTTACCGTAAATACTGCGTAAAAAAGGAACATATAAATAAAAACTGGCTGATTGAGAACGATAACATCGTAGGTAACGAATCGGCACTAATCGGGGTAGTCTTGGTAGGTCGTAGCCAAGTGAAATGGGGGATTAGAATGCGGGGCGGGGTAGCCTAGTGGTTAAAGCGTTCACTCGTCACGCCGAAGACATGGGTTCGATTCCCCATATGGCTACAATGTGTGAAACCCATTTCTGGTGTCCCTCGCCGTGATATTGCTGGAATATTGCTAAAAGCGGCGTGAAACTGAACTCACTCACTCACTCCTTAGAATTTGGTTATTGACACATCGTGAAACATAATAGGACTTCTATCATGTGTATGACAATAGTAAAATTTGTAACATTAAATCAAATAAAATTTTAATGACTGCTTTGTGGATTTGTTAATATGACTTTCCAGAATGAGTGTGTATAGTCTTAAACATGTTCCTTTCGTCTAAGAACATTATTTCTTATCACAAAAATTAAGTGTTTCGATCTTTATTCGATTTTGTATCAATAATATGTGTTGGCCTACATCTAGACTTGCTATCATCACCACGCTGCAATAATTATCGGGAATAATGTATACAGGTTAGGTTCAACCTTACTCCATTTGTGGGGTTATCACGTACACATACACACACGAATGCACGCACGCACGCACACACACATATACATGTTTTATTTCGCTTCTGATTTCCGAACGGCTTTGAATTTAGTTATTCCCCAAAGGTTTACCCAAAAATGTGAATAGTGTCTTGCTCTGTGTTGTGGGGCTACCGAGCTTGCAATGTTGGACAACAATTACAACCTGTGTTAGACAAACTCCTGTGGATAAGAGCAGGCATGTAGGAATATATTACCTACATTTTAGGGACCGTTCATAAGTTATGGCTAGGTGGGAGATGAGGATTTTTGTAAGAATATTCATGTACAAGGTGAATGACCCCACCCACCACCCTAAATTATATGTGCAAAGTAAGTGCCCCCTCCCTCACGTACAAAATCAATCCCCCAATTGTATACATTAATATTTATGTGTACAAAATTGCTACCCCTCTCCAACCCCTCCTAGTACATGTGTACAAAATGAATTACACCTCTCTCTCCCTGCCCCCACCCCCTGAACGGTCCCTTACTAAAATGTGATAGTTTACAGAGTATATCTTGTGGTGGTGTGGGAGTAGCATTATAGGTCATATAACAGAGATGTAACGCTAAGAACTGCCAAGTTATATCAAGTTGTATACTGTCACTGACGGGGTCTCAGTACTATATAACAGAAATAGTACTAAGACCCCGTCAGTGACCGTGTATAACTTGACGGCAGTTTCTGTGTTTTAATCAACGTATTCAGGAATATGCCACGTTGACAATGATGCCAACATCGCTTAATCGCCGTTCCTGTTTCACTTCGTTCGATGTTAATATGGTGATGCCACTCCCTTTTTGCAGTTTCCGAGTTCAATTATTTCGGAATTGTTTACTACAGAAGAAAGCGTTTGTTTTATTCGCGGCATTCTTTCGGAAATAGCAGCTGGTACAAATTCTAGAAATAGTAACATAAAAAATGGGAGATCCCTGGTGCCGGTGTTGTAACAGTTTGTTCCTTCTGATATTTGATATCCTTAATGCGCATGGCACTCCTAATATTAAATCGATTATATATTTCATGCATGCGCTAGTGTATACAACATTATATGGATCATTTATAGATAGCGTCAAATTCAGTAGATATAAGCATAACAATCGACACTAAATAGTGCTCTTGAAGTAAAGAAGAAACACGCCACCCAGCCAGCATGCATAGTACTACGGTAGTTAAGTTTCTCTGAAATCACTTGTAATTAAAGTCATGCGTATAATACTTACCATCGGATTGTGCAAAGCAGTTGCAACATTCCAGGAACGACGACGGTCCTTTGGCAATGAATCCCGAATATTTCCCCTGCCTCAGTAGGTAATCCTGAAGACTGATCGGGTGGTCAGGCTCGCTGACTTGGTTGATACGTCATCGCATATCCTAATTGCGTAGATTGATGCTCATGCTGTTGATCACTGCATTGTCTGGTCCAGACTCGATTGTTTACAGAAAGCTGGCCGCCACATAGCTGGAATATTGCTGAGTGCGGCGTTAAACAACCAACCAAATGACTAAGCAAGGGCACATGTTTACATTGTCGTACAAAAATATCGAACCTTCATGGGTTGAATAACACGCCGATTAATAACAACATTACTCAAATGAAAAGAAAAGGAAAACGCACGTTCTAATGCATCCGAAGATGCCGAGATGCCATAAGTCATGGAGGGTAACAGCAAATATACCATCTTTTTACCTCTCTTAGTTTGAAGCGGCTGGGCACCTCGCATCAGAACATAATAATTTCCCCCTAATGTACCTATTAGAATAACCCGCCCTCTTACAAGCTATGTAGCGATTGCGGCACCCATGAAACTATTTCTCCCTGCAAGTTTCAGGACCTTGCTGTCCCCAACATTGTTTAACCCAAGAATATGGTTTCTTGGCTTACGGCACCTTCATATGTACAAATAACATCTTAGCACATTAGTATGCACTTAGCACACAACGAACAACATTTTAATTGAACTCGTGATTCATTGCACATTGACTGGACATAGCTGTACCGCGACTAGCTGTAGCAGTTGTTCTGGGGCTTGAAGCGATACAGCTCACAACACAACAGACCCAGTCTAAGCTCGTCATATGGGGGATCCTTTATTCGTTGGAAACCTTTGTAACTCTTCACCGGTTTGACGGTGAAGTTGCGGGAAGTTTCCAAAATGGCATCCCCTCGTGTCACGTACGCCGCAACAGGGAAGGAGTGTTGTCCCAGCTGCAGCACAACTATGGCACGGAATATCATATTGATGGCATTTTTCCCTTTCATCATAGCGACAGAGACAACAGTGTATAACAGACCAAAGGAAACTTTCGCTTCTCTGTACTCAACGGGTGTTGAAGCTTACAATGATCAGACCTGGTTCTTGTGTGCGAGTTCCTTGGAGAACGCAATTAAAGATTATAGATTTTATAAAGATACCGTGATTGACTGTCGGATTCAGTGCAAAAAGAGCACAACAATTCGAGAAGTCACACCAGAAATGGTGGAATTTTCTGTTTTTGAGAGAATGATAGAAAATTCCGATTGTATAAGAAGATGCAAAAGGGATAAGTTCGGCGAGAAAGTCTACCCAGACCCACGGGATAGGATATTTACAACATTCCAGGGGAGAAAACCATACGAATACTTGCAGTTTTGTTGGTTTCAGGTAATTATGCATTCCTAATATTGTTTGGATATCTACATAAAACTTTTGACTAAATTGACTTGAATCACGAGTACAATGGTAAAAAGTTACGAGATTCCAATTTTGTTAAATTCTTTTAGGATATACAAGTACTTCTGCGTTGTTAGAATGGGACGGTGGTGTACACTACTTGTTGAATAAAGTATTATTTACTTCAACAATGTTTGTTCACATGTATTCTTGCAGAAGATAATTTGTGTAACAATTTACCATAATGTTGAACATTTGTGGATCATACTACTTCACTAGAGCATCAGAAAGCAGAAGCCTCAAAGATAGACTAAAGCTTAGTCACGAAAATATCTAATTTTCAATGAAGAATAACTCTAGTTTTATTTGAAAAAAAGCCCCAGTGAAATGAGAGAAAGGAAAATCTAGATTGGCTTCAATTGGGGCTTTTGCTGTACAGAAAGGGCTGGGTGCAAAGGGGAAAATAATCACATTTAGTTACTGTGAAACAGACTTTCTCCAGAATGGACAAACTTGTTTGTCTCTTATTAATAGTCATAGCATTCAAGTCTCTTTATTCCATTACAGAAGAGGCCACAGTCCTATAGTACAAAATATAAAAACAATAATGGCATACAATCACAATGTTTGCAAACGTTATTTTCTATGTTCAAAAGCATGGTGGATATACATACCAAGTTTATGAATATAAGTTGTATCATTAGAGTTCATTATCAAATTAAATTTAAACATGGTAGGATGTGAATAGTAATATTGCGGTAGATATTTTGTCCTTAAATCAGCATAGTAAGGACATACCAGCAAAAAGTGGAACTCATCTTCAATTACATTTAGTGCACAAAATTTGCACAGTCTGTTTTCTCTTGGAATATTATAATATCTGCCCCTTCTCGATCATAAGATATGTGAAGAGCATCTAAATCTGGATAATGAAACGTGGAATTTTCTAAGATTAATATCGTGTAGGTATTGCTCTGTATGGAAAAAAGATTTAAAAGTACTGTAAAAAGTGCATTTGGGCGACTGTATTAAAGATGAGTTCCAGGTCTGAATGTACATATCTTTTAATCTTTGCGATAAAGCATTATAAAATGATTTTGGGCAGGTAATCTTTTGTGACAAAAATACATCACTAAAACCACAATGATTTAGTAAATTTCTAACATTCGTTACCCAATTTGATTTTCCGTTGGTGTCAAACAAATACATCATGTTATAACATTTCAACCGACAGGTGGTTACATTTTCTGAATGTTTTTATTTTTCATGTTGAATGGATGTTACGTACATACTATAGCATGACAACTATATGCCAGGTTTGTTTTTACGTGATTCCAGGTAAGCAATAACAAGAACTGGGCAAAAACATTTGGGAAAGTTGGCAAACAAAAATAATATGTTTGTGTTTGAATTTTTAATAAAGTCATGGGTTGGCATCAGTGATGTTAACAAAAGATTTGAATATTTTGACTTAAATAACACAGCTTATAGCATTGCTTATCATATTGTGTGTTCACACATCTTTACACTAAAAGGCATGTCATAGCAATATCTTAATAGCCTAACATAGATGAAATGAGTCATTATCACTTTAAGGGACAGTATGTCGATGGTTCTGTGTGTTTTTAAATCATGCATGAAATAACCTCTTGAGTGTCATGTCACACCCTCACTTAATGTTCAGTTCAATTCTCAAACCAAAACATAAGCGCTGAGCTAAGCCAACAATGCAAGTGTTACACAGGGTGAACTTTCTTCAGTCATGCCCACAGCCGTCCTGCATCGGTAAGTTTTGATCGTTTGATCATGCTGTGTGAACCCTGGCTGCCCAGAGAAAAGGACGAAGGTCCAGCTTGTACCTTTTGTAAATCACTCATAATCTCACACATGAATAAGAGCTTATAGAAACTGCTGGGGCGGTGTGGTAGCCTAGTGGTTAAAGCGTTGGCTCGTCACGCCAAAGACCCGGGTTCGATTCCCAGCATGGGTACAATGTGTGAAGCCCATTTCTGGTGTCCCCTGCCGTGATATTGCTGGAATATTGCTAAAAGCAGCATAAAACCATACTCACTCACTATAGAAGCTGCTTTCAATTTTGTGTTAGCAGAACCATGAACTCTCTGGGTTCGTTATTCCTGGTATTAATATGCCAGTGGCACAGTTAAGTTCCTTGTTCCATATTTCACCTATACATTGTTACAGTGTGTGTTGAAAAGGGTTTACATTTTGATGGTAGTTGGTGGTGACAGGTCAATTGTAAACAATGATGTATCAATGTTCTTCACTGACCATGTTGACAGAACACTTTGAGCCACTTCAGCTGAAGGGGTCATCCTTGGCATAGTTACTACAGAAATATACCTGAGCCCAAATCAGAATTAGACTGTTCTGCTTTGTGGAGAGTGCTTAATTGTTCCTTGGCTCTGAACATGGAAAATTTTTTGCACTTCCTGCATGGCAGAATTGAAGTACCTTATGTGTAGGCACAGTATTGAATGCATCTCATGTAATAGTACATTAGTTCCGATCACCGGATTGTCTGGTCCACACTCGATTATTTACAGATCGCTGCCATATAGGTATATTGCTGAGTGCCGCGTAAAAGTAAACTCACTCCCTCCTTGATATGTGTGCAGTAAAAGGCACTATGTCACACCACATTTTTCTAAAAGTACATAATGCATTTCTCTCAATAATACTAACTATCAGCCCTTAGGGAGGCTCAGTGACCTTATGATTTATTCCCCCCAAAATTACATATGCCATTGCTATCAGATGAAAAATATTCTCTATATTGAAATACCTTCACTAGTACACATCACTGGATGGGTACGAAAAGTATTTCAAGAAAAGAAGGAATAAATAAATCACAAAGTAAGTTAATGATCAACCTCTTTCAGTGTAATGAGATGTGTGATATATATAATTTAAGAAATTGTGCACATAAGGAAAATGGCAGCATATGTCAATGACTTGGTCTTCTAGTTTCATTAAAATCCATTTCTAAGGTCCTTATGTTGTGGAACTGAAGTATTTTGAAAATGTGAAATTGTGTTGAAATGCAAAAGAGGGAGCAAACTGATATTTAACTCAGCCATTATACATATTTTGGCGACTCAAGCCACAAGACCAGGAACTTTGGCTTTGTAATAGAGAGTGAGTGACTGGATTATTTACAGATCGCCACCATATAGCTGGAATATTGCTGAGTGTGATGTGCAACTAAACTTACTCATGTATTAGCATGATTAAACATGTTAAAAGTGTACGTATTCAGTTTCTTCTTGTTGGGAATACATGAGATTACCCAGGTAGTGAAAAATTTCATGTCATGTCAATTTCTCACGACATCATGTTGGCATTGAAAAGATCAGGATCCTGTTCTACAAAGTGTTCATACTGTTGGGACTTGTCGTAACTCTGTTGTTTACCATATTCTTACAAATGTCGTAAGCGCTAAGAAGGCTTTGTTTATTGGGACCCTGCATTCATTATTCTCATCAGGACCTCCATCGAGGGGCTGCATGTGTTATTTCTGTTTGACCTCATTTGTACGTACAATTGGCAATCAACATGAACACACCGAACCTCCTTATAATTGCACTGTTTGTTGACATCTTCTAACAAGATACAGGTTTTGTTTGACCTCCAATAAACCAAGTTGCAAAAACGGCAAAATACTTGCAGTTGGACAACCGATGCGAATTTTTAGCATTCTGAGAAATGCTCTTTGTTTTTACCATCAACAGCATGTTTCACTTGTCAGCAAGAAGTGTGTGAAGCATATGTAAATGGTAAAGAACTACTGCTACTTTCTCTATGTTGACAAAGCCAAGGTTCACATGGTGCTATAAACTTATGGAAGTGAATTCTCTCTTGCTGATTTCTAATTACCAACAGGTGGTTGGAAAAATAGGTCATATTTTATATGTCATTACAAAATCTTTGGGTATTGTAGTGTTTGGTACAACAGAGTGACTGCATATTGTTCTAGTTCCTAGTCTACTGAAATTATTGCAAACTGCACTGAAAATGAAATACATTACCTTTGATATTTTATTGTTTTTAGAGAAAATGTTTTATGTCACTGTGACTGCTAGCACAAGCTTGCTAGTTTAGATTTCTTCAGCATACTGGACTTTAGCATCTTTAGGATAGTCAGGAAACTTAAGTGTATTTTCATCTGTTATGAAAATGTCAGAGGGAAATATCTTATATTTGGCGGGAAATTTAATAATGTACGGCCTGTGGTGCTATTGTGGAAGAAATGAAACGTTATGCAAGTGAAAGCTGCCTTCATTTGATAAAGTTATGCTGCAAAAAGTACTGGGCCTGCTGGTCCAGGGTGTGCTAAACCATGTACTGGGCCTGCTGGTCCAGGGTGTGCTAAACCATGTACTGGGCCTCCTGGTCCAGGTCGTGCTAAACCATGTACTGGGCCTCCTGGTCCAGGGTGTGCTAAACCATGTACTGGGCCTCCTGGTCCAGGGTGTGCTAAACCATGTACTGGGCCTCCTGGTCCAGGGTGTGCTAAACCATGTACTGGGCCTGCTGGTCTAAGGTATGCTAAACCATGTACTGGGCCTCTTGGTCCAGGGTGTGCTAAACCATGTACTGGGCCTCCTGGTCCAGGGTGTGCTAAACCATGTACTGGGCCTGCTGGTCCAGGGTGTGCTAAACCATGTACTGGGCCTCCCTGCCTCCTGGTCCAGGGTGTGCTAAACCATGTACTGGGCCTCCTGGTCTAGGGTGTGCTAAACCATGTACTGGGCCTCCTGGTCCAGGGTGTGCTAAACCATGTACTGGGCCTCCTGGTCCAGGGTGTGCTAAACCATGTACTGGGCCTCCTGGTCCAGGGTGTGCTAAACCATGTACTGGGCCTCCTGGTCCAGGGTGTGCTAAACCATGTACTGGGCCTCCTGGTCCAGGGTATGCTAAACCATGTACTGTGCCTCTCTGGTCCAGGGTGTGCTAAACTATGTACTGGGCCTCTTGGTCCAGGGTGTGCTAAACCATGTACTGTGCCTCCTGGTCCAGGGTGTGCTAAACCATGTACTGGGCCTCCTGGTCCAGGGTGTGCTAAACCATGTACTGTGCCTCCTGGTCCAGGGTGTGCTAAACCATGTACTGGTCTCCTGGTCAAGGGTGTGCTAAACCATGTACTGGTCTCCTGGTCCAGAGTCTGCTAAACCATGTACTGGGCTCCTGTATAAACTGACCATGTTTTGTTTCAGCTTGACCGCCTCCAGGATGCTGCATCAGCTGCCTACACATTCTACCTGACCAACCCGGACCATGAGGACATGGTCAGCAACATTCGCTACTACAAGGATAAGGCTGGCATCCATGAGAATGACTTCCTTGATCTTGAACTCAAACCATATAAGGTAGGAACACAGACAATAACAGGGAGCTCACTGCCATCTGGTGCTCCTTCATCATGCACCCACTGTCACATCCAGTTCACCCCATCATTATGCTGCTACTCCCAGTCTGCAGATAAACATATGCAGGATAAACTATGACTCACAGGTTATGCTTGGCATTGTAAAACTAGAGAAAAGAGAGGCAAGTTCTTATCCCAAGACTCTCTTCTCAAAGGTTTACAATCTCAAGCATTTCCCAAGCTAAATTTGATAAACTTATACACACAGCCTCAGTGGCGGAAAGCTTGTCATGTGGTAAACAGTGATTGTAACTCGTGTGTGAAGGACATATATTTAGAACTGTGACTGCATGTTTGACAGATTACTGTGAAGGAGATACAGGTTTAGAAGACTTTCAGGAGAGGATGTAGGTTACTGAAGGACACAAATCAGATAGTTTGTAAAGCCAAGTCCATGTGAGGTACAGGTTATTAAAAGGCTGACAGGACTTAGTGTTTCTAAATCTTACATGAAATAATTTCAGAAGGTGACTTCATCTTTCGTTCAAGCATAATTATCCCCTTCCACATGTTTAGCGTGAAGAGGGGGATATAGTATTAGGAGCCATCTGTACGTATGTACATATGTAAGAATTGGAAATATCTTAAGTACCGTTTACTAGATTCTTTTGATATTTGGTACCTAGGTTCATCACAGTATGCAAAAGGTCTCACTCAGTCAGGTTTGGTGACCTTGACCTTCATTTCACATTTTACCCTTGTCAGCGAGATATCTCAAGATCCAAGCACTGAGTTTTCTTTATATTTGACATCAAGCTTCATCTAGGGGAGGCGCAGAGCCCAGTCGATTCTGGTGAACTTCACGTAATTTTCAGGGTCACAGCGACACTTGTTTTGTTACAGGCAAATTGTAGGGAAAGCTTGTGTGATTTTCTTACGTAAGGGTTATGAATAATTAGCAATCCTGGTAGCAACTTCTGTTGATATGTTATACGTGTTGACATTATAAACTGTTATGAATGTTATGATACAGCAAAGCTGCAGCGCTGTGGATTTATTTTTCTGCATTCTCCTCTTCAAATGATTCATATACAGAAGAGGCTACTCGAAAGATAAAGAAATCACAAATTATGTTGCCTATATTCTATATGGTCCGTGCCAAAACTTCAGAAAATGAAATGAATGAGGTATTCAAATAGATGATTGTGAGAGATCTTTTGTGGTTGTCATGTCAGTATACCTTTTTCTTTTGGATGACTGGTGTTTTATTCTTTTCAGCATGAATCAGTTTGACATGATCCAATCATTGAGTTTCTCAGCGGGTAGTGAAGAAAATGGTTTGTTCTCTGTCAAACATGGCAGTCTGTTTTGTCCACAGTTGACACGATTGAGAACTGTTTGTTTCATGATGTTTTGTACCTGTAGTGAAAGGATGAGGCATATGTGATGCTCGTAATCAGTTAGGTATTTAATAGTTAAACGTTTCAACTTCAACATGAGGATCTACCTGACAAATTAAACAAAGTAGTATGATTTTAAAGTCTTGTTTAAAGTGTTAGAACTATACTCCAGAATAATTGTTTCTTTTCCACTTTGTACTACTCACAGATTGGTTTACAATTAATCACAACACTTTTGTAGGCACTTTTTTTGTTGTCTTCACAACCTGTGAATCACAGAATGAGCAGAGGTTGCTGAAAAGCCTGGCCTATTGCATGCAGATTTCTTGTTGATTCGCCGGGAATTGTGGCTACTGTTAAGATTTTTTTGCTCACACAATGCTTTCAAGCTGCATCGGTTTTATTGGAGGTGGCAGTTTTTGCCGGAGTGTATGTTTTTGTAACCTTTATAATTTTTTGCAGAAGTTCCTGGTTACTCGGGAGGTTTTCCAAACTATGTAATTTCTCTTTGAGGTTATTTGTCAATTGCTTGTTATGTAAGGTGCGGCATGTGATCGATGCCGAATGTATTGTTAAGTGTGTTTTGTTGGAGGAGTAACAATGAGTTAGAATTTCACACAGCCTGGCGATGAAGTACTTTATATGCTTTCATTCTTTGTATTTCTCACTGACATGTATTTTCAGGATTTCATCTGAGACAGCGTGATTCCATTTGGTGTCCCTAACTATAACACTATTTCATGTTACGTCAAAGATTAATTATGAGGTTTTCAGTTTCTTTCAGTAATGTAGCATACATTTCAAACTGTAGCATGTCAAACTCTAGCTGAAATGAAACTGAGAGACAACCAAATTTTACATGTTCGTATGAGACTGGGATGCAGCAATTTAGATGGTCATAAATTTGATAGGTTTATTGTCAATGCTTCATGCTGCCCTTGTGGTCATGTGTATGAGAATGCACATCATTACCTATTTCTATGCCCAAATTATACAGATAGTTGTCATGTAATCCAATGGTCCCAACTTGAACACTGTATTATTTGGTAAAGAGAACCTATCAAATCTGTCAACACAACAATAATCCAGTCTGTTTATCAGTTTATATCACTAAGCAAACGGTTTACCTGAAAATAACAGTATGTTACAATGTTTTTTCTCTATTAATGTTAATAATTTCTGATGTAAATATCCTGCTGTAATATGTCAGCGTTTGGGGAGAGACATTAACATAGGGGAAACCCTGCTTGTCAATATCACTGTATATGAATTAAGTACAAGAATATATACTTTTAAAACTAAAATGATTTGATGATTTTTATGATCTCTCTCTGGTGTTTCATTATTGTTTGAGTTGCTTCAGAATTTCCTGTCAGTTAAACATCAGATAAGTGATGTCTTCAAAAATGTTGGTTTCATTGAGGTTAATAATGCAAAAAAAAATTTAATCTGACTTTTGTTTGGAAACTTAGATGTTTTAGGTATGAACATAATACTGATGATGGCCAAGGCATAACATTTGCACTGTTTAAATGGACCTGTTGCTTTTGATGTGTGTGAGAGAACCGACTCATCCACACCCAGAAATACTGAATTCTACTACAGATGTTCTTTACTAGTTGTAGCTCTCTGTTTACATGTAATTTCTTCAAGCACTTTTTTGATGGCTCTTACATACATGATGTATGAAGACTTTGAACAAATGAATATTTCATATGTTTAACAAGTTATCACATTGCTGTTCAACATTGAAGTGAAATTGAGCCTTAACTACGAGAGGTAGGTAGGCAGGCAGGCAGGCAGGCACTTGCTGACCGCTCTTGACAGTAGTGTACTAGAGACTGGCATGTATGATTTCCGGCTTGAAGTATACGTTACGGACATTCTTCTGTGAGTATGTGTGACAGTGTACTCTGTATCCCCTGCCCAGACAGGAAGCTGGCGTGACATGCAAACTCCCCTTAATATCCTGTGTCCCCACCCCCCACCAGTCATGCCACCATGTGTACAACAACCCACCACAACAATAGAGCTGATAACAGACCCTCTGCTACTTTTGTCTATGTCAGATCCAGATCAGCTGATTGAAAACACACACTCTTGTTTGTGTTCATAAGGCAACATGTGGTGCTGTGGACATAGTAAAGCTAGATCAAATAGAACACATGTAACAACTTTCTTACCATATGAATATGCACTCCCTCTCTCTATCGTGTAGGTTGTGGGGTAGCCCAGTGGTTAAGCATTCGCTTGTCATGCCAAAACCCGGGTTCGATTCCCCAAAGGTAGTCTGTCTCACAGTCCCTGAACCACATTATTTTCCCTACTGCCCAGCTCTCTCTGCAGTGCTAAAGCCCTAAATAAAGCAAGTCTAGCTCTGGTCTCCCTAGGGGTCCTTTTCAATATAATTGGGCTTGTTTGTTACTATCAAAATTATATATATTCAGAGACTAAGCCTTAGTCTACCCCAAAGGGTACAATGTGTAAAGCCCATTTCTGGTGTCCCTCTGCTGTGATATTGTTGGAATATTGCTAAAAGTGGTGTAAAACTAAACTCACTCACTCATTCACTCAATCTTGTACATGCATGCATGTGTGCACGCATGAACACACATACACACAGACACACAGACACACACACACACACTGATGAAACTGATAGAACAGTCACATCTTCCTTTTTCAATAGAGGCGTGCCTTGCCTATATTACCCTATAATCATAACACAGCTAGTCCATTCTATACAATGTTATGATGTATGCATGGTATGGTACAGAGAACTCCTGGGTTCCTTTCCATTAAGCATTTTTTAAGATAATCTAAGTACCTTTTTTCAGAAAATATGTTGTTTTCAGCGACTAGATAGTCTTCTGATTTGTGGACAAGTTAATATATTCTTTATTTCACCATGCCTGATGATGGTTTGTCCACGAGTAGTCACCGAGAAATCATGCAAAGGAGTAACAGAAAGAATATTTGGGTAGGTTTTCATTGTTCAAATCTTGATAGTCATGAAAATATCAGTGTTTGAACAACGCTTTGACATCGTTCATTTTTCAGTGCAAACATCCAAACTGACATTCAATTCTTAATTAAAAAAAAGCCATGGTAAGTTGGCACCCTGTGGAAAGTCATGGAAAAACATGGACATGAAGCAGTTGGTGGTTTGGAAGGAGTGTATGTGGTGGTGGAGATATCTGGTGGTACCAGCATTGCAGGTGCTGCCTCTGGGAATAACACTGTTGCATCACCAGCACATGGGGGGCCGGGAACGGCAAGCTGGGGATAACAAAGGGTGATGGGTGGTGGCTCTTGCATCTGCAGGGTTTAGGATGTGAAGCTAAGGAGCTTCCACATGGGATTGCCACATGTGTGCTAGTGTGTACAATGTGCAAAGAGAAATTGTGGAGCCAGGCAGATGTAACATGTAACATGCATTGTGCAGATTCCATCTCAGAGGAAATGGTTAGATGAAGAACTGAAATAATGATTGGTGCCACACCAAACATCTTTGTGTGAAGATTTGATTGAGATAAGTTAATTGGTTTGAGGGATTCCTGACGACATCAAATAGGTCTTTGATGGGTAGACAGAAATGGAC